TATTTACACTTTAATTTATTAATAAGAAATGTTTATACCTTATTTTAAAAATAAGAAATATTTACACTTACCTTGGAGGAGATGTTAGTTTAATTAGAGTGGACCCTCGAGTAACAGCTTTAATCTGTTCCAAAGACCTTGCCTTTAACCGATTTTGCCGTTAGCTGAATTAATTTTCTCCACAAGAAATAATGAAAATCCAATTAATCCGTTTCAGACAGCCAAAAGTATTAACAAAAAATATTTTTTTTAAAGATTAAATATAGATATACATACAGAAAACAATGACAAATAAATATAAAGCACTAATAAAACGGATAAATGAACATTTAACATCACACCTTTATTGACTCTTGTTGGTGTATGGAAGACAGGTAGAAGGTGAGAGGGAGACAAGTTTATTATGCTATAATACGATGCTAATATCTCTACAGCTTATTTATCTATCACAATTCACCTAATATGACATAATAACAATATTAATAACACAGAAACATGATATATACTCTAAAATTAATAAAATATGTCATAATGTATGTGAGGAGTAAGTGGTGGAAGTGTTGTTGTTGGGTTTATAAGGGCCACTGAGAGAAGCCGTACACAGTGGTGGCGGTGGTGGTGGAAGTAAGTTTATTCAGGTATACACAAATACAATTATGTACATACGTACACAGATTATCATACATAGCAGCATATATGTAAAGTACCTAGGATAACCCAAAAGAGTCAGAGTGACATATGTATTTCCATTGGGGTCCTTTTATATTTACACTTACATTTACTTTTATACTTACACTTTTATATTTACACTTACCTTGGAGGAGATGTTAGTTTAATTTAGTTTGATGGAGGAGATGCTGGCAGAGGTTTAAGGTAGTGGAAGATAGCAGGGCGGCGTAATGTTCATTGGCACGATACACACCAAACAACACTGGAGAGTTACTTTCGTGTCTTTTTCTATTGCTTACTCACTTAACTTACTTGCTACACTGTTAATTCTACACTTTATTGCTGGGTGACACTATAGCCTTTATTGATACCTACTGCTTTAGTATCATACATATCGTAAAATCACTGAATCACTGCAGAAGGCACATTCTCCCCTCTCTCTTCCTCCTTCACTTTGGTTCTTTGCTGTGAGTTTTTTCTTGAATTCTATTTTGTTTCTTTCCTTCTTTACCACAGGGCTGGCACTAGAAGCTTTCTTTGGGCCCATGGTGGCTTATTTAGCAGTTACAAGCACTAAAAACAATGGAATAATGCAAAATATATCACATGTACATGTGGAATCGTCCTCCCTGGCTTGTAAACAATGGCACACTGGCTGTACGTGGGCCCAGGCCGCGCAGACACGTTCGGGATGAATGTCCTTAACCATGTTCTTGGGCATTATCCGAGCCAATATTTTGACACAAAAACGTGCCGCTATCCGATTTTGGCATTAGCCGATGCCACCATTACCCGAGGGTCCACTGTATCATTAGTTTGATGGAGGAGATGCTGGCAGAGGTTTAGGGTAGTGGAAGATAGCAGGGCGGCGTATGTTCAGTGGCCCTATACACCAACAACATTGGAGGGTTACTTTCATGTCGTTTTCCTATCGCTTAAACACTTAACTTACTTGCTACACTGTTAACCCTTTCAGGGTCCAAAGGCCAAATTTCAAAGTGCACACCAGTGTCTAAGAATTTTAAAAAAATAATTTTGTTATTTTTTCTTATGAAATGGTAGAGAATCTTTTTCTGGAGGTAATAAAACAAAAAGTATGAAATTTGATGGAAAATTGATGAAATTATGCTCTCGCGAATTTTGATGTGTCAGCGATATTTATGCATCAGCGATTTTGCCGATTTTGACTCCCATTTTAGGCCAGTTATATTACTCCAGTCGACCAAATTCTTAGCTATTTCACTAGTATTACTTCTATTCTATTGATCGAGCACAAGAAATCGCCAAGTCAACTGTTTCAGCTACAAAATAAAGTGATCGGAAATTGGTAATTTGGCCAATTTAATGCAAAGTTCAAAATATTCTAATTTCAAAATAGGGTCCAGAATAAACAATGTGGGTATTCCTGGAACTCAACTAACATTTCCTCTGTTCATCAGTTACATTCTCAGGCTTTACAAATGAATTCCATTTTGATTTTTTATTCACATAATGAATTTTTATTTAAACCAAAAAATAGAAGATTTACTGTTATGCAATACTGTAATAATTGTATAAATAATATCGCCTCATTTGTGAACGTATATTAGACCCACCAGCTGGCGTGTATCAGACGTGTGGGATCATTTGTTTCCTCTTGAACATCGGCAAAAATTTAACATTTCTGTTATTTTGAGTTCAGTTTCAACCCATTTCCATTACTAAAACTAATCAAAATCATCTCTATTTCTGTAATATATCTTCCATTCTATCAAATAAGACCAAGAAATCGCAAATACAACTATATATTTTACATATGAAAAAACACTGCAAATTTGCTGTTTTAATAAAAAATTATGGTATCATTTTTTTTCTCTCATTATGCACTGTGTACTGCAGGATTTGTTTTATGTGGTGCATACATACCACATAGATGTAGTCTCTCATATCTAGGCCCAAATTTACCGCTCACAGCTTATCAGAGTGAGCTGAGCTCATGACATAGATCTACAGTTTGGACCCTCAACATACAGCCGTAGATCTACGACACGGACCCCTCAAAGGGTTAATACTACACTTTATACTGACTGGCTCTATAGCCCTTATCGATACCTGCTGCTTTAGTATCGTACATATCTTAGAATCACTGAAGAAGGTACATTCTCCCCTCTCTCTTCCTCGTCCACTTTGGTACTTTGCTACGAGCTTTTTCTTGAATTCTATCATGTTTCTTTTCTTCTTTACCAAAGAGCTGGCACTAGAAGCTTTCTTTGGGCCCATGGTGGCTTATTTAGCTGATGCAAGCACAAAAATCAATGGATTATTATGAAATATACTGTATGAACCCATGGGGTGATGGTCAATCGCCCACAAATCATGCCACACTGACTCTCTGAATGTTGTGTGGGAGCCTTTGTGTACACCCAGCCACTCCTGGCTGCACAGATGCGTCCCGTACAACGGACGAATCACGAGTTCGATCACAAACTGCGAGACTATATTTTGCCGAAAAAAGTTGCCAAAAGTCAGAGTTTACAAAAGTCGCGGTCGCTGAAATGCGGGGTTCACTGTATCTCATCTTTTTCTAACACCTGTCTCCAATTGGATAAAGAAGAATTGGCCCAAGTTAGGAAAGAGAGAGAAGTAAGAAAGAAAACAGAAAACAAGATAAACAAAGTAAATACAGAAGGCAGGTCAAGAGGAAAAGGGAGGGGGGAGGTCAAGGCCAGGTTAAGTCACGATAGTCCTGACGATTGGAGCATTTGACTATGTAATGCGAAAGGAAGACTTTTACAGAAGTAAAGCCAGGACTAAGACTTATGTTAGGAAAGTTGTGTATAAGGTTTGTTTCAAACAGCCTTTGTGAAGACTAAAAGAAGGGTATATAGTTTTAGCAGAGGAAAAGTTAAATGGATGATTGTGATCTCTAATATGACAGTGGAAAAAAAGCATTGTTGGTGTAAGCAAGACGAACACTTCTTTAGCTCTTTAAGTCTGTCAGAACCGGAGCAACCAGTTTCACCAAACTATTAGAGACAAGAGGAGCAGTAAATGGTGTAGATGCTGGAAGCACCAGTGTATGCCCTCCAGACCAATGAAAAACTTATTTACAAGGAAATCTTATATTTCAATTATTGCAGGGTGCAATATTATCATAACTTTGAAATAAGTGCTAGGTAGTAGGTTTGTAGACACTAACCACCCAGGGAGGTACTACTGTCCTGCCAAGTGAGTGTAAAATGGAAGCCTGTAATTGTTTTACATGATGGTAGGATTGCTTGTCTTTTTTCTGTCAAATTTCAGGTACATCTTCCTACTTCTACTTACACTTAGGTCACACTACACATGTATGTACAAGCATATATACACACACCCCTCTGGGTTTTCTTCTATTTTCTTACTAGTTATTGTTCTTGTTTACTTCCTCTTATCTCCATAAGCTATGCATGTCGTAAGAGGCAACTAACATGCCATGAGCAAGGGGCTAGTAACCCTTTATCCTGTATACATTACTAAAGTTGAAAAGAGAAACTTTTGTTTTTCTTTTTGGGCCACCCTGCTTCAGTGGGATATGGCCAGTTTGTTGAAAGAAGAAGAAAAAGAAATGTCTCATTGTTTGACTCTATTGGCTTATTTTATGCTAAATCTACATCTGCTTTTTGGCTAAATTCCACTGTTAAGTTTCATGAGCTTGTAATAAATTTGGAATGAGTGAGACATCTTTCTGGCAGCTCCACACCGTCTGCAAGTAGGGAAGCTGGAGGCAGAATAACAGTTCTTAGTTTTATTTTCTTGTGCTAGTTAGGCAGTGTTATCCCATGATGCTCTGGACCTGTGTGGTCTTTGAATTTTTTATAGAGAATAAATATACAGTGGTACCTCGGGATATGAACAGCTCAAAACTCGACCAATTATGTAAGTGTATTTATGTAAGTGCTTTTGTAAGTGTACTTTTGGGGGTCAGAAACGGACTAATCTAATTTACATTATTCCTTATGGGAACAAATTGGTTCGGTATCGGCACTCGAGCAGCCTTCTGGAATGAAAAAAGTTTGTATCCTGAGGTATCACTGTAGTTTTACATACAAACTAGGGCACACGAAAACTGAGGTTCCACTGTACGTTGGACATGATTAAAAGGAGGCAATAAACCTGCAGAGGTCATGCAGCATCTGGGGAAAGGGAGGCAATTGGATTTGATGTAAGAAAGTACAAGGTAGCTTCAATTCCCTGGACCAAGATCCTTTCACCAGCATCATGGTACCTCCCATGAAGACAGAATTTGGGAAATAATAACTGATGATGAGGAACATATGTATACAGACAGCCAAAAATTATTGTTATGAACTTACCATTGATAAAATTGTGCTGCAGTCCATTCAAACTTATGATCAAAGTGTCTGAAAGAGCCTGGAATATAGCCAGGTATAAACTTGTTGAAGTCAGCATTAGGTGTAGTTATGATTACCAGTTTTGGTCTTATGTCTTTAAACACACATTTGATGAGGTCGGGTAACTCTGATAAAGGCATGTGTTCAATTCTGTGTGGAAGAAAAAGTATTTTGCAGCTTTATTAAATCATTACAAACATTTCTGGTAGTTATTTTTATTATATTCACATGAATGTTATCATTCAATATCTTGTGTAAATACACAAGGAGTAGGCTAGAGGAAGTGGCAATGTCGTGTCTAAGGGGAATGTGTGTGGTGTAAATACTATGCAGAGAATTTGTAGTGTGGAAATTAGGAGGTGTGGAGTTACTAAAAGTATTAGCCAGAAGGCTGAAGAGGGGTTGTTGAGGTGGTTTGGTCATTTAGAGAGCATGGAACAAAGTAGAATGACTTGGAGATCATAGAAATCTGTAGGGAAAGGAAGGCAGGGTAGGGGTCGTCCTTGAAAAGGTTGTAGGGAGGGGGTAAAGGAGATTTTGTGGGCAAGGGGCTTGAACTTCAAGCGTGCATGTGTGTGTTAGATAGGAGTGAATGGAGACAAATGATTTTTGGGACCTGACGAGCTGTTGGAGTGTGGGCAGAGTAATATTTTGTGAAGGGATTCAGGGAAACCGGTTAGCCGGACTTGAGTCCTGAAAATGGGAAGTACAATGCCTGCACTTTACAGGAAGGGTCTGGGATATTGGCAGTTTGGAGGGACATCTAAACTGCAGTATCTGAGTGTCTCTGCAAAGACAGTGATTATGCATGAGTGATGGTGAAACTGTTGAATGATGATGAAAGTTTTTTCTTTCTGGTTCACCCAGCCTCGGTGGGAAATGACCAATGTGTTAAAAAAAAAAAAAAAGTCTAAACTTCACTTTTACCCCAAACATCTGATTATTTCTAGTAGGTAGGGAAAAAATTAGATGGGCAAAACACATTAAATAAATTGATCTGAGATGTAAAACTGGAAGGGCACAACATATTAAACATCTGTGATGTAAAATTAGAAGGGGAGGAGAATTTCAGTGGGGAGAAATAAATGGTATTACGTCAGATGTATCTGAGAGAGGTAGAGCTAAGAAAGAAGTACGAATAATGTTGAAGTATCATTTATGGCAGGAAAGAGAATGCAAATGTATAAATTCAAGGATTACAGGGATTACAATAAGGGTCGGATAAGAAAAGTGGGTTATACTAAGTGTTTATGCACCTGGAGAAGAAAGGAGTAAAGAGATGTTAACCCTTTCAGGGTGAGCAAGCCCTCTCCTAAACTTTTTCTCAGGGTCGGAAATTTAAAAAAAAAAAAAAAAAATTATTATTTTTTTAATGAAATGATAGAGAATCTTTTCCCGATCATAATGACACCAAAAGTATGAAATTTGATGGAAAACTTATGGAATTATGCTCTTGCGAAGTTAGCGGTCTCAACGATGCTTACGCATCGGCGATTTTGCCCACTTTGAGCTCTATTTTCGGCCAATTCCAATGTACCAGTTGACAAAAATCATATCTATTTTGCTAGAACTCCATTTTTTCTATTGAATGAGTACAAGAAACCACCCATTTACCGATTTCAACTATCCAATAACGTGGTCAGAAATTGGCAATTTTGCCAATTTCACAAATTTCAAAAGATGCTAATTTCCAAATAGGGTCCAGAATAAACAAGACAGACATTTCTGGCACTAAAATAACATTTCCTCTGTTCATTACTCATGTCCCCAGGCCTCTGTTACATTTCTTTTGCTTTCCACTTTGAATTTTTATTCTCACAAAAAATAGAATGTTTATGTTATGCAGACTACTGCATTCGTGTAGAAATAGTGTAGAAATGGTATAAATAATATCAGTGCACTTGTGAAAGAATAACAGACTCACCAGTTGACGTGTATTGGACGCGTGGCATGATTTGTTTACTTTTGAACTTTGGCAAAAATTTAACATTTCTGCTACTTTGAGCTCAATTTCAAGGTACTTTTCATTATGAAACCAATCAAAATCATCTCAATTTCCATAATATGTTTTCCATTCTATAAAATGAGTCCAAGAAAACTAGAATACAACATAAACAGCATACGAAAATGCACTACGAAGTCGCTATTTTATACCAAAAACACGGTCGAAGTTTTTTTTTTTCTCATTATGCACTGTGTGCTGCAGGATTTTTTTTTATACTGCTCACACTGACCACACAGACCCATTCTTTCATATGTAGGCCTACCAGCTTTCTCTTGCTAGATTTGAAGGCGCTAGAATTTATGGGTACTAGTACGGCACCAACCCTGGCGTGCAAGCTGTACTAGTACGGCACCAATCCTGAAAGGGTTAAATGAGTGTTAAGTAGTTTTGAACAAAGTGAGAGAGTAATTGTGGTGGGGGACTTGAATGCTACAGTGAGAGAAATGGTAATAGAGGGCATGGTAGGTGTTTGAGGCGCCAGGGGTAAATGATAATGGGGGTCCTTTGACTGAACTTTGTATAGAAAGAGGTTTAGTAATAGGTAATACACATTTTAAGAAAAAGAGGATAAGTATACATGTACAAGATATGATATAGGGCATAACGACAGTAGTTTGTTGGATTATGTATTGGTGGATAAAAAGTCGATGAGCAGATTTTGGGAAGTGCATGTTTATAGAGGGGCAACAGATATATCAGATCCTTTTTAAGTTGTAGCTACAGTCAGAGTAAAAGGTAGATGGTATACAAGGATAATAAAATCAACAAGAAAGAGAGAGGTGAAGGTTTATGAAAAAGAGGAGGAGGTTGTTAGGGTAAGATATAAGCAAATGTTGGCAGAAAGAGTATAGGTAACGAGGAGGTTGAAGAGGTACAGGGTTGATAGAAGGATGTAGTACAGGTTGGCCATCACTAATCTGGCATCATCAGGACCTGTAGGGTCCTGGATTAGTGATTCTGCTGGATCACAGAGTGGTTAGGTTAGAATACACTTAACCCAATGGCGATACTTACGCATCAGCGATTTCACCCACTTTACGCCCTATTCTTGGCCCATTCCAGTGTTCCAGTCTACCAAACTTACAGCTATTATGCTAGAAAGCCTTGTATCCTGTCGACTGAGTACATGAAACCGCCCATTCACCTATTTCAACTACCCAATAAAGTGGTCAGTAATTGGTAATATGGCCAATTTCACACAAATTTCAAAAGATGCCAATTTCAAAACAGGGTCCAGAATAAGCAATGCAGACATTTCTGGCAATAAAATAACAATTTTACTGTTCATTTGTCACATCTCCAGGCTCCTCTTATATCACTCTTGCTTTCCATTTTGAATTATTAAAAAAAAAAAAAATAGAAGATTTACTGTTATGCAGACTGCATGATTGTAATAATTGTATAAATAATGTCAAACCATTCGTGACTGCATATTAGACTGGCCAGTTGGACACGTATTGGACGGTGACATCATTTTTTTTACCCTTGAACATTGGCAAAAATTTAAGGTTTCTGCTACTTTGAGCTTAATTTCAAGGAACTTTTTGTCATGAAACCAATAAAAATAATATCTATTTCTGTAATATATCTTCCATTCTATCAAATGAGACAAAAAAAATACAACCATAAAAACCATACGAAAATACACCGCAAAGTCACTGTTTTACACCAAAAACATGGTCGCATTTTTTTCTCATTATGCACTGTGTGCTGCAGGATTTGTTTATATAGTGCACCCTTACCACACAGACCTATTCTCTCATATGTAGGCCCAAAATACCGGTCAGAGCAAATCTGATTGAGCTGAGTTCATGGAAACCGACAGTGGCTTCAAAGCCACCATATCTTTTACAGATAATGTACCGTGAATGTGCTTTACACAATGAGAAGCATTTCTTTTATTCACTGGAACCATGGCTAGGGCAAAAAGTAAGCAGGAAAAGGAATTGGAATGACTTACACAGCAAGTAGCACCACCAAACAGTAGCAGCAAGTTGGTGTGTCGACCCCGGAAATTTGAAATTATGCTAGCTGAAATTAGTGCTGGATTACTGATTGCTGGAATAGTGATGGCCGACCTGTATTAGTGTTCGGGAAACATTTGTGGACATAGGAAGGTGAGTGCGGGAGGAAAGAGGAGTGACTGGTGGATTGATGAAATAAAGAGAGTGTAAGAGAGAAAAAGTTAGCATATGAGAGGTTTTTGCAAAAAATGAATTATATAAGGAGGGAGGAGTATATGGAGAGAAAAAGAGAGGTCAAGAGACTGGTAAATGAATGCAAAAAGAGAGCAAATGAAAGATTGGGTGAAGAGCTGTCAACAAATTTTACTGAGAATAAGAAAAAGTTTTGGAGTGAAATTAAAAAGTTAAGAAAGCTGTGATTTCATGCATTGGCCAGGGAGGTATTGCATCTTTTAGGAGTGAGGAAGAGCCAGATTTGAGAGTGGAGGAGGAGCATTAGGCTGTGGGTAAAATGAAAGAGGATAATGTAGTTGGAATTGATGGGATCAAGACAGAAATATTGAAAGTAGGTGGGGACATAGTTTTGGAGCAGTTGGTGCTTTTATTTAATAAATGTACAAAACAGGGAAGGGTGCCTAGGGATTGGCAGAAAGCATACATAGTTCGTTTGTTCCTTTGTATAAAAGCAAAGTGGACAGAAGACTGTGTAAGAATTATAGGGGAATAAGCCTGTTGAACATACCTGGTAAAGTGTATGGTAGAGCTATTAATTACTGAAAGAATTAAGGGTAAGATGGAAAGCACGATCACAGATGAATAAGGAGGTTTTGGGAAGGGTAGGGGGTGTGTTGACCAAATGTTTACATTGAAGCATATACATGAACAGTATTTAGAAAGATATGGGTAAAGAAGTCTTCACTGCATTTAAGGATTTTGAAAAGAAACTGTGACAACTCCCACAAAGTGGGAGTTGTCACAGTTTCTTTTTGCTGATGACACTGTGCTTCTAGGAGATTCTGAAGAGAAGCTGCAAAGATTTGTGGACGAATTTTGGAGGCTATGTAAAAGAAGAAAAATCTAAGAGAACATTGGAAAGAGCAAGGCGATGAGGATAATAAAAAATTTGATATCAGATTGGAGGGAGGGAGTTTAGAGGAAGTGAGTGTCTTTAGATATTTGGAAGTGGACTTGTCAGCAGATGGGTCTTTGAAAGATGAGGTGAACATAGAACTGACAAGGGGAACAAGGAGAGTAAAGCACTAAGAAGTCTGTAAAGACAAAGAATGTTATCCATGGAAGAAAAGAGGGGAATGTATGAGAGTATAGTGTTACCAATGCTCCTGTATGAGTGTGAAGCATGGGTTATAAATGCTGTAGTAGGAGGCTGGAGGCAGTGGAGATGTCATGTCTGAAGGCAATGTGCAGTGTGAATATTATGCAGAGAATTCATGGCTTGAAGATTAGAAGTAGGCGTGGGGTTACTAAAAGTATTATCCAGATGGCTGAAGAGGGGTTATTGAGGTGATCTGGGTATTTAGAGAGGATGGAACAAAATAGAATGACTAGGAGGCAAATAAAACTCAACCCTTTGAGGGTCCAGACCCCTAATTTGAAAATTCACCACAGAGTCCAAGAATTAAAACAAAAAAATTTTTTTCTTATTAACCCTTTCAGGGTTTCTGACGTACTAGTATATACGTCTTACCCACCAGTGTTGGTGACGTACTAGTACACATAAATTCTAGCGCCCTCAAATCAAGCGGGAAAAGGCTGGTAGGCCTAGATGTGAAAGAATGGGTCTGCGTGGTCAGTGTGTGCAGTATAAAAAAAAATCCTGCAGCACACAGTGCATAATGAGAAAAGAAATAGAGATAATTTTGATTGGTTTCACGATGACAAGTACCTTGAAATTGAGCGAAAAGTTGTGAAAATGTTCGATTTTTGCCGATGTTCAAGAGTAAACAAATCACGCCACGCATCCAATATACATCAATGGTGAGTCTAATATTCTTGCACAAGTTTTTACAACGATGCAGTAGTATACATAACAGTAAATCTTCAATTTTTTGTGAGAATAAAAATTCAAAATGGAAAGCAAAAGTAATGTAATAAACAGATAAAATGTTATTTTAGTGCCAGGAATGTCTGTCTTGTTTATCCTGGACCCTATTTTGAAATTGGCATCTTTTGAAATTTGTGTGAAATTGGCCAAATTATCAAATTCTGACCACTTTACTGGGTAGTTGAAATTGGTAAATGGGCAGTTTCTTGTACTCAATCAATAGAACAAATGGAATTCTAGCGAAATAGCTATGGTTTTAGTAGGCTGAAACATTGGAATTGGCAGAAACTTGGGCTCAAAGTGGGTTAAATTGCTGATGCGAAAATATTGTCGATGTCAATAACTTTGCAAGAGCATAATTCTGTAAGTTTTCCATCATATTTCATACTTTTGGTGTCATTATGATAAGAAAAAGATTCTCTATCATTACAAAAAAAAAAATAATTTTATATTTTGAATATTTTTCTACCCTGAGTAGGAGTTAACCCTTTCAGGGTCCGTCCCGTAGATCTACGGCTTTACGTTCAGGGTCCAAACCGTAGATCTACGTCATGAGCTCAGCTCACTCTGATAAACTGTGAGTGGTAAATTTGGGCCTAGATATGAGAGAATACATCTATGTGGTATGTGTGCACCACATAAAACAAATCCTGCAGCACACTGTGTATAATGAGAGAAAAAAAACTGAGACCATGATTTTTGATTAAAACAGCGACTTTGCAGTGTTTTTTCGTATGTTTTTTATAGTTGTATTTGTGATTTCTTGGTCTCATTTGATAGAATGGAAGACATATTACAGAAATAGAGATAATTTTGATTGGTGTTAGCACTGGAAATGGCTTGAAATTGAGCTCAAAGTGGCGGAAATGTTAAATTTTTGCCGATGTTCAAGAGTAAACAAACGACCTCACACGTCTAATACACGCCAGCTGGTGGGTCTAATATACATTCACAAATGTGGTGATGATATTTATACAATTATTACAATATTGCATAACAGTAAATCTTCTATTTTTTGGTGTGAATAAAAATTCATTATGTGAATAAAAAATCAAAATGGAATTTATTTGTAAAGCCTCAAAACATAACTAATGAACAGAGGAAATGTTAGTTTAGTGCCAGGAATACTTACATTGTTTATTCTGGACCCTATTTTGAAATTGGAATATTTTGAACTTTGTGTTAAATTGGCCAAATTACAAATTTCCGGTCACTTTATTTTGTAGTTGAAACAGTTGACTTGGCGATTTCTTGTGCTCAATCGATAGAATAGAAGTAATACTAGTGAAATAGCTGAGAATTTGGTCGACTGGAATAATGTAATTGGCCTAAAATGGGAGTCAAAGTCGGCAAAATCGCCGATTCGTAAATATCGCTGACACATCAAAATTCACGAGAGCATAATTTCGTCAATTTTCCATCAAATTTCGTACTTTTTGTTTTATTACATTCACAAAAAGATTCTCTACCATTTCATAAGAAAAAATAACATTTTTTTTTTTTTAAATTCTTGGACACTGGGGCACCACTTCAGATTTTGGCCTTGGACCCTGAAAGGGTTAAGGATCGAGGGTCTCGACCCTGAAAGGGATAAGTGGTAGAGAATCTTTCTCTGAATGTAATAAAACAAAAAGTACAAAATTTGATTAAAAACTGACAAAATTACACTCGCGAATTTTGCTGTGTCGGAGGTATTTACACACTGACAATTTTGCCCACTTCGAGTCCTATTTTTGGCCAATTACATTGTTTCATTAGACCAAATTCTTAGCTGTTTTGCTAGTATGTGTTCCATTTTATCTACTGAGCACAAGAAATCCCACAATCAACTATTTCAACTACCCAATAAAGTGATCGGAAATTGGAAATTTGGCCAATTTCACAGATTATCAAAATGGGGTCCAGGATAAACAATGCAGGCATTCCTGGCACTAAAATAACATTTAATCTGTTTATCATAGCTCATTATTATGCTGTAGTTATACATGAAAAATATACTAGCAAGAGTTATTTGAATGGAGAGCAATGTAAAATGCGTGTTCAACATAAAATATAAAATATAACTCACAGTTCAATCATGGTGACAACTTGAGTTTCTGAGAGCAATGGGTCATATTTTCTGCCATCCCCACACACTGCTTTAACATTAAGAGGTAGTTTACGCAAAATTAAGAAGTCTGCTGGCAGGGGTTTGATGCGATACTCATTATCCTGATATAAGAAACAACACTGACATTAATAACATATAAAAACATTACTTAAAATATTGATTTTTTTTTTTCCTTACTGGCCATCTCCCACCATGTCAGGGTGACCATAAAAGAAAACATATTCACCATCATTCACTTAATTGCTGTCTTGCTAGAAGTGTACTGACATTACAGTTCAGATGAGCCTCCAAAATACAACATCCACAGCCATCCTTCATGATGCAAGCACTGCTCTTCCCACCAGCCATCCTTCATGATGCAAGCACTGCTCTTCCCACCAGCCATCCTTCATGGTGCAAGCACTGCTCTTCCCACCAGCCATCCTTCATGCAAGCACTGCTCTTCCCACCAGCCATCCTTCATGATGCAAGCACTGCTCTTCCCACCAGCCATCCTTCATGGTACAAGCACTGCTCTTCCCACCAGCCATCCTTCATGGTACAAGCACTGCTCTTCCTACCAGCCATCCTTCATGGTACAAGCACTGCTCTTTCCACCAGCCATCCTTCATGGTACAAGCACTGCTCTTCCCACCAGCCATCCTTCATGGTACAAGCACTGCTCTTCCCACCAGCCATCCTTCACGGTACAAGCACTGCTCTTTCCACCAGCCATCCTTCATGGTGCAAGCACTGCTCTTCCCACCAGCCATCCTTCATGGTACAAGCACTGCTCTTCCCACCAGCCATCCTTCATGGTACAAGCACTGCTCTTTCCACCAGCCATCCTTCATGGTGCAAGCACTGCTCTTCCCACCAACCATCCTTCATGGTGCAAGCACTGCTCTTCCCACCAGCCATCCTTCATGGTACAAGCACTGCTCTTTCCACCAGCCATCCTTCATGGTGCAAGCACTGCTCTTCCCACCAACCATCCTTCATGGTGCAAGCACTGCTCTTCCCACCAACCATCCTTCATGATGCAAGCACTGCTCTTCCCACCAGCCATCCTTCATGGTACAAGCACTGCTCTTTCCACCAGCCATCCTTCATGATGCAATCACTGCTCTTCCCACCAGCCATCCTTCATGAAGCAAGCACTGCCCTTCCCACCAGCCATTCTTCATGATGCAAGCACTGCCCTTCCCACCAGCCATCTTTCATGGTGCAAGCACTGCTCTTCCCACCAGCCATCTTTCATGGTACAAGCACTGCTCTTCCCACCAGCCATCCTTCAAAGTACAAGCACTGCCCTTCCCACCAGCCATCTTTCATGGTGCAAGCACTGCTCTTCCCACCAGTCATCCTTCATGGTACAAGCACTGCTCTTTCCACCAGCCATCCTTCATGATGCAAGCACTGCTCTTCCCACCAGCCATCCTTCATGGTACAAGCACTGCTCTTTCCACCAGCCATCCTTCATGGTACAAGCACTGCTCTTCCCACCAGCCATCCTTCACAGTACAAGCACTGCTCTTTCCACCAGCCATCCTTCATGTTGCAAGCACTGCTCTTCCCACCAGCCATCCTTCATGATGCAAGCACTGCCCTTCCCACCAGCCATCTTTCATGGTGCAAGCACTGCTCTTCCCACCAGCCATCCTTCATGGTACAAGCACTGCTCTTCCCACCAGCCATCCTTCACAGTACAAGCACTGCTCTTTCCACCAGCCATCCTTCATGATGCAAGCACTGCTCTTCCCACCAGCCATCCTTCATGTTGCAAGCACTGCCCTTCCCACCAGCCATCCTTCATGATGCAAGCACTGCCCTTCCCACCAGCCATCCTTCATGATGCAAGCACTGCTCTTCCCACTAGCCATCCTTCATGGTGCAAGAACTGCTCCTCCCACCAGCCATCCTTCATGTTGCAAGCACTGCCCTTCCCACCAGCCATCCTTCATGATGCAAGCACTGCTCTTCCCACCAGCCATCCTTCAAAGTACAAGCACTGCTCTTCCCACTAGCCATCCTTCATGGTGCAGGCACTGCTCTTCCCACCAGCCATCCTTCATGGTGCATGCACTGCTCTTCCCACCTCCAGGAATAAAGTCCAGCTCACCAGTTTCCCAAAATCCCTTCATAAAAGTAACCTTATTCACACTTCAACAGCACATCCATTAAAAATTACTTGTCTCCATTCACTCCTATCTCACACTCCCACAAACCTGCTGGATGCTCAAGCCTCTAAAACTCAAAGCCTCCTTTACCCTCATGATTATACTGTTTTCTTAATTTCAATTCAGTTCAATCTAATTCTTTATTTCAAAACTACTGAACATAAAAGACATAAAAAAAACATGAAGACCCATGCAATGCATAGCATCTTGGGCTAACCACACCACGGGCGGGGAGTCTCAAAACTCCAGACCATCGCGGTTTCTTTCCCTGCCCGTGGTATGGTTTGTTTGCAATCGTGTCATTATGATTTCGTGAGTCATCTTGGGCTAAATCTAATCTAGTCTTAAAATCTACATAATATCTTTATCTTTTAGGTCTAATATATCGTATTAACTCTAACTGTTAGGGTGCTGATCAATGCATCTCTGCTAGTGCTCCAAATGTTTTCATTTTTTATGTAAAGAAAAAAAGATAACCTAGGTAGTAGGTTGGTAAACAGCAACCACCCAGGGAGGTACTACCGTCCTGCCAAGTGAGTGTAAAACGAAAACCTGTAATTGTTTTACATGATGGTAGGATTGCTGGTGTCTTTTGTCTGTCTCATAAATATGCAAGATTACAGGTACGTCTTGCTACTTCTACTTGCACTTGGGTCACACTACACAAACATGTACAAGCATATATATACACACCCCTCTAGGTATTCTTCTATTTTCTTTCTAGTTCTTGTTCTTGTTTATTTCCTCTTATCTCCATGGGAAGTGGAACAGAATTCTTCCTCCGTAAGCCATGCGTGTTGTAAGAGGCGACTAAAATGTTGGGAGCAAGGGGCTAGTAACCCCTTCTCCCGTATAAATTACTAAATTTAAGAGAAACTTTTGTTTTTCTTTTTGGGCCACCCTGCCTTGGTGGGATATGGCCGGTGTGTTGAAAGAAAGAAGAAAGAAAAAAAAAGATAAATTTTTATAGGTATTTTAATAAAAAAAATTAAGGTCAGTACTTACTGAGATACAAAGCAATGAAACTGGCAATGGATGCTCATGTGATGGCAACATGGAGTCCTGCTACTTGTAGAAATTTCTCAGATAACCTGTGTTTTCTCATCTGATGTTGATTTATGCAGTTTTTAGGTTCTGATATTTATAATTGAGAGTAAATCTTGTGAATTCACAGCCAATGGTTGTTCTGACACAAATATTATATATGGAAATATTAATGAAACAATCACATTTACACACTGACTAGTGAACATGTCCACCTACTCGGGTCACATACTACTGTATAAAAATATATACAAATTATTTACAGGTCCCGCCAATGTATTCTGAAGTGCTGGAGTGTATGAAACTCCTTGAAGCATGGTGTCAGAGTAGCACTTTACACTGCTGATGGTGCATTCATCCCACAATGCTGATGGCATACTGACCCATCAGCACTGACCCCAGTGAACCTTGGCACATATTTTCTATTTGTTCTCACCGTTCCACACATATCAGTATTGTTCACATACACGAAATCAGCGAGCGAGCATGGGGATGTATACCAGTTGCCAGTGAACAATGTATGGCCCTTGCCAAACTAGGCACTGAATTTTTGTTTCAGGTACATAAATACATCCTGGATTTTGTATAGCAGGTTGTTTCTGTTGGGTGTATGCCTGTCTGAGAAGCGCAACATTCATAGCAACACACTAAAAAAAACCCGCACACAGAAGAGAGGAGCTTATGACAACGTTTTGTCGTAAATGGTCAAAGTCAGACTGAAATGTCATCAAAAGATGGTTTAATTTTTGTGCATTATTCCAGTCATGGTATTGTACCTTTTTGTTCTTTATTTATGGCAACAGCATGAATCTGTTGCAAGAGGTGGTGGTCACAGAAGATTTGGGTACTGATGTAAAAGTCTGTTGACCAGTACTATGCTATACTGAACTTGTAGATACAAGGCACAAGCGTGACTGTGGCAAGGACTAGATACATTTCGGCCAGTTGAATCTTTGCACCAGTGCAGCTGTGATGATTCTGCAACATGTGTAATACCTGTTTGTCTGACTGACAATCAGGTTCGTGAGTGGCTAATCAAAATACAATTGGAAGTACTCGAAAAGGAGAGCGTTAATACAACATGGCATTAGTGAATCCCTGGGGTTTGCCATGCTGTTTGCTGGAGTTGGTGCTCAATTGAACTGGTGCTCCAATAAGGTATTATGTAGGCCAAGAGCTTTTAAATATGGTACCAAATTTTAACACAGGAAAAATAGTGTATCGATCAATGATCAGAGCACTAGCAGTAATTCGTGGATCAACAGTTTGACAGAAAAAGGGTTAACAGAAACCTAAAAAAAAAATTAAAGTTAGAAGATAATAGTTCAAATGAAGTTATAATTGTCTATTTATGGCAAAGGGTGAGTGTTACTAGTTTATGAACTGACAATACAAAACAATATTATTCAGTTAAAGCTCTCAGGTACCAGCTCATATTATTACAGTAGCACACAATATAATGAAAGACCAATTCACTGAAGACTGTTTCTGCAGACATGGATACAGGAAGTTAAGGACATGGATAATACTATGTAAAATTCATGATAAAACAGCTTTGTCTGAAAGAAGGGGTTGAGACATAATAAATATAAGGGAGTAGAAAAAATGTAGAAACAAGAATTACAGGAGAATGAGTAATGCATAAAAACACTACAATCTTAAAGGTTCCTGCTGCTTTTAACAATCCATCAATCATACTTTTTTTCAATGCCAAAGGTTTCAGCTTTTCTATGGAATGTACAACATTATTTTCAGTCAAAACTTACATACAGTATTTGGGAACAATCAATAAAGATACAGTGGACCCCCGCATAGCGACTTTAATCCGTGCAAGAGGGCTCATTGTTATGCGAAATGATCGGTATGCGAATGAATTTTCCCCATAAGAAATAATGGAAATCAAATTAATCCGTGCAAGACACCCAAAAGTATGAAAAAAAATTTTTTACCACATGAAATATACATTTTCCTACACACAAAGAGAAGGATACATGCACAATAGTAGAGCAGTACATGCACAATATATATTGTGCATGTACTACTCTACTAAATGAAGAATAAATGACACTTACCTTTATTGAAGATGCAGCAATGACTGATGAGACACTGTGTCCTGGGAGTGCCTTTTCCTCCTGAGTACTGTAGGTCCTGTTTGGCATTTTCTTCCAGAACAGGCCTTATCACACTGTGTATGCCACTACGATTCTTAAATCTCTCAAACCAACCTTTGCTGGCTTTAAATTCACCAATATGAGCACTAGTTCCAGGCATTTTTCCCTGTTCACCTGGGTGTTAGTCGACTGGTGTGGGTTGCATCCTGGGAGACAAGATTAAGGACCCCAATGGAAATAAGTTAGACAGTCTTCGATGACACTGACTTTTTTGGGTTATCCTGGGTGGCAAATCCTCTGGGGTTAATTGTTTCTTGGTATTCTCAATAAGCCACACCAACAACGGTGCTACAGCAGCAGCTGACAGTGCTACAGCAGCAGCTGACGGTGGTACAGCAGCAGCAGACGGTACTACAGCAGCAGCTGACAGTGCTACAGCAGCAGCAGACGATGCTACAGCAGCAGCAGACGGTACTACAGCAGCAGCTGACGATGGTACAGCAGCAGCTGACGGTGGTACAGCAGCAGCTGACAGTGCAGCAGCAGCAGCTGACGGTGGTACAGCAGCAGCAGCAGCTGTACCACCAATAGTAGCGATGGTTGATTGGGGTTTATTATACAACCTGGCCAGCTCGGAGACACGCACTCCACTTTCATACTTATCAATGATCTTTTTCTTCATCTCTATAGTAATTCTCACCCTTATTGCTGTAGGGTTGGCACTAGAAGCTTTCTTGGGGCCCATGGTCACTTATTTTGCAGATAAAATCACCAAAAACACTGTAATAATACGAAATGTTCCGATTGTATGCTTGGATGTTACCGCGGAGGCTGGCTGGTAAACAATGCCACCGGCGGCACATGTGAGGCTGGCTAAGGGCGCACATTGGACGCATCTTGGACGAAGAGCGGTGAGCGGGTTTTTGAGCGGTATGCGAGGCAAAATTTTTGCGATAAAAGCGAGCGGTATGCGGATTGAACGTTATGTGATGCGTACGGTATGCGCGGGTCCACTGTACTTCCGTCTGATCAACTAGCTGACAAAGGGCTGTCGTGGGATCAGAGTCAATGACAGAATAAAAAACAAGTGGTTGGAAATTACAAAATACTGATATTACAGTGGAACCTTGGTATACAACCAGCTCCCTACTAGAGCAAAGCTCACATCTCGACCAAACAAATACAACCTGCCAGAACTTCGCTGTAAACTATTTCGTGTTTCTTCGCATTTTTTGGCACTTTTTTCTTTTGTATTACAGTGGACCCCCGACATTCGATGGCATCGACATTCAATAAATCCGACATTCGATGCATTTTAACGCAAAAATTTCGCCTCAACATTCAATGGAAAACCCGACATTCGATAAGATTCATACAAGACGTGTCCACGTGTGGCCTGAACTGCACCGTGTGTGCCAGTGTTTACAAGCTAGCCAGTGTGCGCGCATCTAAGGATACATTCGGTACATTCCATATTATCACTGTTTTTGGTGCTTGTTTCTGCAAAATAAGTAACCATGGGCCCCAAGAAAGCTTCTAGTGCCAACCCTTCAAGAAAAAAGGTGCTAATGACTATTGAAATGAAGAAAGAGATAATTGCAAAGTACGAAAGTGGAGTGCGTGTGTCGGAGTGCATGATGATTTGGTAAAGAAACTGCCTGCAACTAGTGGTGATGTGAGTGAATTTAAGGCCAGCAAAGGTTGGTTTGAAAGATTTAAGAATCGTAGTGGCATACACAGTGTGGTAAGGCATGGTGAGGCTGCCAGTTCAAGTCCTAATGGAAGGGGATTCCCCTTCTAAACACTAACACCATCCACACTCTCCCCTCCTCCCATCCCATCAATCATCACCAGATCTTTATTATTCTATTGTTATTAATCTATTGTTATTGTTGTTATTGTAACTATTCTATTCCATTAAACTTAATATTTCGTGTGGTAAATTTTTTTTTTTCATTCTTTTGCGTATCTTGCACGGATTAATTTGATTTCCATTATTTCTTATGGGGAAAATTAATTCGACTTTCAATATTTTCGACATTCGATAGCTCTCAGGAACGGATTAGTATCGAATGTCGAGGGTCCACTGTATTTGTATAAATAAATCACCATGGGGCCTACAAAGATTAGTGATAACAGCCAACCAAACAGAAAATTGGTTGGGAAGAACTTGTTCGACACTCAAACAGAGAGGCACTCAAACAGCCTTCTGAAATGAATTAAGGTCGCATACCGAGGTTCCACTGTATTTTAGAAGATATTCAGGAAAATCATTACTTTTATTACTATATTTCAACAACTTTGCCAACTTGATTCAATTTGGCCACAAATTTCTTTTTTCAGCATTTTTTCATCTCTTTCTCTTATCTGTATCTGCTTTCTTCACTTCATTCACTTCCAATCACTTCCAATCACATTTTAAAAATACTAAAGGAAATTCATCAACAATCACAAAATTTACATCTGCTACACTGTAAGTGTTTAGAAAGACCACTTATAAACAAAATTATTCACTCACAAATCAAAACCATAAACTAGTGTTAACTATAAAAAAAAATTAAGCATTAAATATGTGTGCATACAATTTACTACACAGTTCAGTACACTCACCTTCAATATGTGAAAATCTTTGTCAAGCAAAAGAATTTCCTGAATCCCAGGCACATTTTTCAGGTATCTGAAGAACTTCAGTCCTGCACATCCTATGTCAACTACCTGAAAATATTTATTATTTTTAAAATAACAAAATCATTTTAACATACAAGCATAATTATTTTACATGTAATCTGATCTCACTCAGGCAATCCAGGGAAATATTACTTACCTGCCTCAATTAAATATTCATTGCTCTTCATACCAAGGGCCTCCACATTAAATCTATATAGTATATATATCTATATCAGTAGTAGTAGGATGGTAGACAGCAACCCGCCAGGGAGGTACTACCGTCCTGCCAAGTGAGTGTAAAACGAAAGCCTGTAATTGTTTTACATGATGGTAGGATTCCTGGTGTCTTTTGTCTGTCTCATAAACATGCAAGATTACAGGTATGTCTTGCTACTTCTACTTACACTTAGGTCACACTACACATACATGTACATGTTTATTTATACACACTCATCTGAGTTTTCTTTGATTTTATCTTAATAGTTCTTGGTCTTATTACTTTTCCTTTTATATCCATGGGGAAGTGGAATAAGAATCTTTCCTCCGTAAGCCATGCATGTTGTAAAAGTCAACTAAAATGCCGGGAACAATGGGCTAGTAACCCCTTTTCCTGTAAAGATTACTAAAAAGAATAAGAAGAAGAAAATTGTCAAAGTGGGAAGTCTGAATGTGAGTGGATGTTGTGCAAATGATAAGAAAGAGATGATTGTGGATGCTATGAATGAGAAAAAGCTGGATGTCCTGACTTTAAGTGAAACAAAGCTGAAGGGGGTGGGAGAGTTTCAGTGGAGAGGAATAAATGGGATTAGGTCAGGGGTTTCAAATAGAGTTAGAGCTAAAGAAGGAGTAGCAATAATGTTGAAGGATAAGCTATGGCAGGAAAAGAGGGACTATAAATGTATTAATTCAAGAATTATGTGGAGTAAAATAAAGGTTGGATGCGAAAAGTGGGTTATAGTAAGCGTATATGCACCTGGAGAAGAGAGAAGTGCAGACGAGAGAGAGAGATTTTGGGAAATGCTGAGTGAATGCGTGGGGAGTTTTGAACCAAGTGTAAGAGTACTTGTGGTTGGGGATTTCAATGCTAAAGTGGGTAAAAATGTTATGGAGGGAGTAGTTAGTTTAATATGTTTATTATGCACCCCATACCCATCCTGTGGGCGGTAGTCAAAAGATTACAGAGGTACATAATGGGTCCAGGGACTGGGCCTCAAAGTTTTGATAGCTGAGCAAGTTACAGAGGTAATGAATTCACAATTTACAAAGGTAATGAACTCACAATTTACAAAGGTAATGAACTCCAGGTAGGTCTAGTCACAATCATGACAAATTACAAAGGTATTTACAGATTACAGAGGTACACAATGGGTCCAGGGACCGGGCTCCAAAGTTTTGATGGCTGAACTAGGTACAAGGTAATGAACTCACAAGTTACAAAGGTAATGAACTCACAAGTTACAAAGGTAATGAACACTGTAAGAATGGTTACTTACGTTTATACATGGCTGCAATCATGAACAAATTTTAGAGTAATGAGCAATTCACACTTCCACACCCGGTCACAACTGTAGTGAGTTATTGGTGCAAAGAGATTTGGTAATAAGTAATACATATTTTATGAAAAAGAGGATAAATAAATATACAAGGTATGATGTAGCATGTAATGAAAGTAGTTTGTTAGATTATATATTGGTGGATTAAAGGTTGATGGGTAGACTCCAGGATATACATGTTTATGGAGGGGCAACTGATATATCGGACCATTATTTAGTTGTAGCTACAGTTAGAGTAAGAGGTAGATGGGACAAGCGGAAGGTGGCAACAACAAGTAAGAGAGAGGTGAAAGTGTATAAACTAAGGGAAGAGGAAGTTCGGGTGAGATATAAGCGACTATTGGCAGAAAAGTGGGCTAGTGCAAAGATGAGTAGTGGGGGGGAATTGAAGAGGGTTGGAATAGCTTTAAAAATGCAGTATTAGAATGTGGGGCAGAAGTTTGTGGTTATAGGAGGGTGAGGGCAGGAGGAAAGAGGAGTGATTGGTGGAATGATGAAGTAAAGGGTGTGATAAAAGAGAAAAAGTTAGCTTATGAGAGGTTTTTACAAAGCAGAAGTGTTATAAGAAGAGCAGAGTATATGGAGAGTAAAAGAAAGGTGAAGAGAGTGGTGAGAGAGTGCAAAAGGAGAGCAGATGATAGTGGGAGAGGCATTGTCAAGAAATTTTAATGAAAATAAGAAAAAATTTTGGAGTGAGTTAAACAAGTTAAGAAAGCCTAGGGAACGTAAGGATTTGTCAGTTAAAAACAGAGTAGGGGCGTTAGTAGATGGGGAGATGGAGATATTAGGTAGATGGCGAGAATATTTTGAGGAACTTTTAAATGTTCAGGAAGAAAAGGAGGCGGTAATTTCATGCACTGGCCAGGGAGGTATACCATCTTTTAGGAGTGAAGAAGAGCAGAATGTAAGTGTGGGGGAGGTACGTGAGGCATTACGTAGATTGAAAGGAGGTAAAGCAGCAGGAACTGATGGGATCATGACAGAAATGTTAAAAGCAGGGGGGGATATAGTGTTGGAGTGGTTGGTACTTTTGTTTAATAAATGTATGAAAGAGGGGAAGGTACCTAGGGATTGGCAGAGAGCATGTATAGTCCCTTTATATAAAGGGAAGGGGGACAAAACAGATTGTAAAAATTATAGAGGAATAAGTTTACTGAGTATACCAGGAAAAGTGTACGGTAGGGTTATAATTGAAAGAATTAGAGGTAAGACAGAATGTAGGATTGCGGATGAGCAAGGAGGTTTCAGAGTGGGTAGGGGATGTGTAGATCAAGTGTTTACATTGAAGCATATATGTGAACAGTATTTAGATAAGGGTAGGGAAGTTTTTATTGCATATATGGATTTAGAAAAGGCATATGATAGAGTGGATAGGAGAGCAATGTGGCAGATGTTGCAAGTATAGGTGGTAAGTTAATAAATGCTGTAAAGAGTTTTTATGAGGATAGTGAGGCTCAGGTTAGGGTGTGTAGAAGAGAGTGAGACTACTTTCCAGTAAAAGTAGGTCTTAGAAAGGGATGTGTAATGTCACCATGGTTGTTTAATATATTAATAGATGGGGTTGTAAAAGAAGTAAATGCTAGGGTGTTCGGGAGAGGGGTGGGATTAAATTATGGGGAATCAAATACAAAATGGGAATTGACACAGTTACTTTTTGCTGATGATACTGTGTTTATGGGAGATTCTAAAGAAAAATTGTAAAGGTTAGTGAATGAGTTTGGGAGTGTGTGTAAAGGTAGAAAGTTGAAAGTAAACAAAGAAATTGGGAAGGAGTATGGAAGAAGTGAATGTTTTCAGATACTTGGGAGTTGACATGTCGGTGGATGGATTTATGAAGGATGAGGTTAATCATAGAATTGATGAGGGAAAAAAGGTGAGTGGTGCGTTGAGGTATATGTGGAGTCAAAAAACGTTATCTATGGAGGCAAAGAATGTATGAAAGTATAGTAGTATCAACACTCTTATATAGGTGTGAAGCTTGGGTTGTGAATGCAGCAGCGAGGAGACGGTTGGAGGCAGTGGAGACGTCCTGTCTAAGGGCAATGTGTGGTGCAAATATTATGCAGAAAATTCGGAGTGTGGAAATTAGGAGAAGGTGTGGAGTTAATAAAAGTATTAGTCAGAGGGCTGAAGAGGGGTTGTTGAGGTGGTTTGGTCATTTAGAGAGAATGGGTCAAAGTAGAATGACATGGAGAGCATTTAAATCGGTAGGAGAAGGAAGACGGGGTAGGGGTCGTCCTCGAAAAGGTTGGAAGGAAGGAGTAAGGGAGATTTTATGGGCGAGGGGCTTGGACTTCCAGCAGGCATGCATGAGCGTGTTCAATAGGAGTGAATGGAGACAAATGGTATTTGGGACCTGACGATCTGTTGGAGTGTGAGCAGGGTAATATTTAGCTACAGTTAGAGTAAGAGGTAGATGGGAAAAGAGGAAGGTGGCAACAACAAGTAAGAGGGAGGTGAAAGTGTATAAACTAAGGGAGGAGGAAGTTCGGGCGAGATATAAGCGACTATTGGCAGAAAAGTGGGCTAGTGCAAAGATGAGTAGTGGGGGGGTTGAAGAGGGTTGGAATAGTTTTAAAAATGCAGTATTAGAATGTGGGGCAGAAGTTTGTGGTTATAGGAGGGTGGGGGCAGGAGGAAAGAGGAGTGATTGGTGGAATGATGAAGTAAAGGGTGTGATAAAAGAGAAAAAGGTAGCTTACGAGAGGTTTTTACAAAGCAGAAGTGTTATAAGAAGAGCAGAGTATATGGAGAGTAAAAGAAAGGTGAAGAGAGTGGTGAGAGAGTGCAAAAGGAGAGCAGATGAAAGATGGGAGAGGCACTGTCAAGAAATTTTAATGAAAATAAGAAAAAATTTTGGAGTGAGTTAAACAAGTTAAGAAAGCCTAGGGAAAGTATGGATTTGTCAGTTAAAAACAGAGTTAGGGGAGTTAGTAGATGGGGAGAGGGAGGTATTAGGTAGATGGCAAGAATATTTTGAGGAACTTTTAAATGTTAAGGAAGAAAGGGAGGCGGTAATTTCATGCACTGGCCAGGGAGGTATACCATCTTTTAGGAGTGAAGAAGAGCAGACTGTAAGTGTGGTGGAGGTACGTGAGGCATTATGTAGAATGAAAGGGGGTTAAAGCAGCTGGAACTGATGGGATCATGACAGAAATGTTAAAAGCAGGGGGGATATAGTGTTGGAGTGGTTGGTACTTTTGTTTAATAAATGTATGAAAGAGGGGAAGGTACCTAGGGATTGGCGGAGAGCATGTATAGTCCCTTTATATAAAGGGAAAGGGGACAAAAGAGATTGTAAAAATTATAGAGGAATAAGTTTACTGAGTATACCAGGAAAAGTATACGGTAGGGTTATAATTGAAAGAATTAGAGGTAAGACAGAATGTAGAATTGCGGACGAACAAGGAGGTTTCAGAGTGGGTAGGGGATGTGTAGATCAAGTGTTTACATTGAAGCATATATGTGAACAGTATTTAGAAAAGGTAGGGAAGT